CCTGACGTGGGACTTTCTTTAAGAACTATAGATAGTGTTGATGGACACCAGAAAGATTTTTTTTGAATGCAAACACAATATAAAAAAAACCTGGGATTCTCCAAAAAAAGGTATTTTTTCTTGCTTTTTGGTTCCATGATTAAAAAGAAACCTCTCAAAAAAAACCTGCCAGTGCATTACTAATCTTGATATATTGCAATTCCTATAAACCCAGTTTCCATTTATGACTGGGTCCCGCATGGCCAGGAGTCTTTCTGTCACCTCAGAAACTAGGGTCCTCTGCAAATTTTCAGTTTTCACTTCTGGTCATTGTTGTTTTGAAGTATCAAACCTAAGTCAATATGGACTCCATTTCGCTTTCACTATCATGTCTGAATGGAAATCCAGCTAACAGATAAGTTCTTGTGCAGTTCTATAGATCTGTCAAAGGGAATTGAATGGAAAATATCCTAAAAAGGAAAATGATGTAGAGTTGTAAAGAAAAAGCAGGTGAGAGATTATAATTTGATAGCTCTTTCTGAAAATTGGCACAAGCACTTTGGACTGAATGGACTCTTTTTGCGCTTTACGATTCTATCCCACATCTCAAAAGGAGTTAATTTAAAGCAGTGAAAGAGAGCATTCACTGAGCATGAGGAACTTCAGTCCCATTTTTCGGCCATATACCACCCAATAAACAGTGCTACAATAGAAGAAGACACAAAGTGCAATCATCCAATTACTGTCTGGTTGACTAAGTTGTGCTGGTGCATTAAAACGAATCAAGAGTCAATATTTACAACAGCCAAGCACTGATCAGAATAAGGCTCTGATTCTATCAGATATCTTGGCAACATTATTTTCTTAGGTTTGGAAATTTAGATGTTGTACGTTAGCTATTTCACAAGCCCACGACCTTTCAGAAACTATTGTAAAACACCTTCTTACATATGAGTCCCAACAACATCTCTGAGCCAAAGAGCAGGTGGAGCAGCACATCTGCTGAGGGCTTGTCAGCAAAGAGGAGGAAGTACACATGTAGTTCCCAGTTGGTATTCTGCTGTAGCATGAAGGTCCATGGTATTTCCTTGAACGTTCTAATAACATGACCTTCCCTGACAGTGTATAGCAATGTGTCTCACTATCACATGAAACATTAATAACCAAGTCTTTATTTAGATTTATATTCTGACATACATGGATGCATTACTCCCATTGGAGATGGTCACATAATTACTTTATTATAGATGAAGTCAGATTTATAATGTCACATTCATAGAAAAATTAACATCAAATCCATATAAGTGTTGATGCTATTGCATTGCAACTTGATGCCTCCCACTGGCAGAATAAGAAAACGAAGAAGCCATAAAAATGACCCAATCAACTTAACTACCATTAAATAAGTGTGTAAATAATTTCAGTTTTGTGATCCAGTCTTTAGAAGTTAATGGTTATAAACTATTGGAGCAGTTCTTTCATGGTTTATAATGTCACCTGAAATGAGATTACTACCTTGTGACTTGATGCCGTCCATCATTATTTGAAAAATATTTGGTGCTTTTTTTTCAGTATTTGCATTAAATATTCTCTTAAGTCATTGGCCCTTCCCCTCAGGTGATTGGCGAAGGTTTTCCCAATCTGCTGCTCTAACTTTGGCACAAACCCTGTTCTTGCAATCAACAGATTGTGTCAGAAAAGCCTGAAGAGCCCTGAGAATGGACTCTTTGCTCTTGTTGTACATATGTAAGACAAGAAAACAAGTGTTTCCTTTAGAGGTCTACTTTGAACATTTATGGACCGTTTTGGGATCAAGGCTAGTCTCCCTCACAAAGAAAGATCTTGAGTTAAATATGTTGCAAATGTAGTAAGGATGAAATTGCAGGCTACAAACTTGAATTCTGATTCTGAACTAAAACTTTTTAAACTTAAAATTCAAAGTGAGCAGTGAAATTGTTTAACCATGCAAGTATATTCATCAGCAATACGAGACGTTATTTTGAATTAAGTTACAGCCATTACATCACATGTTGGAGAAAATCCCAATGTATGATTAATTGGCCAACAGTAAGAATATCCTGGCTGCATAGGAACTGGCCTATGTTGATACTGGTTCTGATAAAGACGGAGCATCTTGTTCCTAATAGTATTTGTATCATGTCATGTGCTAATACGATGTGGCTTTCAGCTCACAGTTTCTCAAAAGGTGAGTTTCTGACCGGGGCTGAAGCATCTGGAGAAACTGATATTCTTCTCAAGAAAGAGGAAGGAGATGTTGAAGAGAAAATCAATCTCTCTCTCCTTCCAGAGTTCCTCCCTCCTCCACGGAACTAATTCAGGATGTGAGGGAAGGAGTAAAAAAGAAAAGTTAGGGGGAATTAAAGCAAGTCTGATTTGGATAAACATTTGCCTGACAATGGAGTCAAGGATTATAGGGTGCATGCAGGAACATGAAATTAAGGCCATGACCTGATCAGTCCTGATCTAATGGAGTGGTGGAGCAGATCAAGGTGCCAAGTAGCTTCAATTTCTTGTTCTTAATAAAATTTGTGATCTGTTTTTATAGAAAACTTGTTTTGCCATTGGTAAAATCTAATTGATCACATTAAAAAAAAATCCTTATGCACATAGCCCTGTGGTTTTATCAGATTCTGAAAAGCATTATGAATGTTGGATCATTCCTTTGAAATTGAACAAGTATTTTGCAGCAGTCACGTGGTTGGGGGCCTGCAGATAAGAACGGTACCTAAACACTGAACTTCAAATTTTCAATTTCCCCTGCACTGTGAGAAAAAAGTCAAATGCATCTAATATTTGTAAGCTATTCATATTAAATTGTATTAGAAATTAATGTGCCCCGGGTCCCGCAGTGAAAATCTGTCTCAATAGTTACCTGTTTTGCTATCTGAACTTTTTATTTTCCAATGCGCACATTCTATCTTTGGAAAATAATGTTAGGCAGATTGGAAATAGAGAAGAATGGAAAGCCACAGTATTACAACTGCCAATACAATTTGATCACCATGTTAAAGACTGGAGTTGACACTAAGCACATCTTGGTAACCAAGGGGAAAAAAATATTAACACTACACAATGGAACCCTATGAGCTAGTAAATATAGGCTTTGTCCATTTGCTCAATAATACTTTATTGAAAAGTGGTAGATATTTCGCTGGACAATTTTTGTGTAAAATGGTACTTCTAATATCTATGGCTTATAGGTATCTGTAGAAGTCAATAAAAGATATGAGACCTCTCCAGATGGTTGATTCTTAATTTATTTGGCTACCAAACTGTTTCAAGTACTAGACAATTTGGTTATCTATTCAAAAGACTGAGAGAAATCAACACCCATTAAGAAGATTATTCATGGAATAATATGGTATCAGCATTAAAAGCTGTTAATCAGCAAACTAAAACTTCAATTGAAGGAATATGTATACAGTCCGGAATCGCACTGTTTCTTTCACGAACTTCGACTTGAAGTAAAAAACAGTCTACTAGAGAAAATCAGTTTCTATACTTTTGCATACACATTGGAAATCATTGAGAGACTTGATGAACACCTTAGCAAAATAAGACACCCACTCAAAGCAAAGGTTTCCTCAAATTCAAGCCCACTTTTTCTTGATATTTTTAACTAAGAATATCCTTTTCCTCAGCTATCTACTCTAAATTGGATAATGAAATTCTTCACACTGTTTTGCCGACTTTATCACAGATGGCTCCCAACTCAGCATAAATTCTAAACTTACCAAAACCTGACTAAGCAAATGTGTAATGTGGTAACTTTAACCCTGCCTGTGTCAAGCATTAAACTTCTTGGACGGGCACTTTGTAAATGTGTTGTTAATGAATGGGCTTCCTAAAACAGCTGAGGTAGAATACTTTATCCATAGTATGATTAATTATATACAGAATATGACAAAAAGTACTATTTGCAGTACTAAGAAAAATAACCATCAGGATATGGTGGTGGATATTCCACCATTCAAAACAATTAACTATTCAAAGCCTGGAAAATAGCACAGTGTGATATTAATCTCTAGAAACTTACCACACCCATAAAAATTACTTTGTATGCAATTTTACCAGAGCTGTTAGCTCTATTAAAATGGAAAAATTATTGTTTCTGTTATCTCACACAAATGCAACTAGTGTCCATAAGCTAATATCTCATAACATCATTTCCAGGCTTGCTGATGAGGCTGTAACCTGGTGGGTTAGAAACTTCATAGAATATGAATTTAAACAATATTTACTATAGTACAACTAACAAATAATGGAAACGCACAGTATGTCACCAGAAACTAAAGGAAAGGTAAATTGCTGTTTTGTGTGGAAGTTTGTGTCAGTTCTGGAGTCCTAAAAAGGGACATTCCTTCCTGACTTTTCCTGACCTTGAGATCTTTGAACCTTTGAACTTTGATCTTAAGATCTTTAGGCTGCTCAGTAAACTACTAGCTGATTCAGTACATGAATCTCTAATCTTCTTATTTCCTCTAATCTTCCTAATTTCTAACAGATATTCTTTTATATTCTATAGATATTATATACCCTGGTCAATTCTGTATATTCATGCCCCTATAAAAAGGATCCATTAGTAATCTCCATCAAATACTTCAATAAAAAGTCGCTATCTGTCCTTTAAAATTCATTTTATACCATTAAACACTTGTCTTAAAGAGACTGTTGAATTTAATATTGGACAATAAATGTAAAAAGCTTTTATATCAAATTCTAATCTCAAAGAGTGAAATTGAAGTTACTGATGTAACTTTAAATAAAAAGATACAACATAATAAAGTATTTGCATAAACAAAACAATTTAATTATTTAATATATACACACATTGTATAAAATTAAATAGGTACATATTTTCTTATTTCAGTTGATATATATCACATTACCAGCTCTTAACAAGTGGACCTGTGTAAAATATGTCATGTATGAAATATATACATTAATAAAACCTGATTGTAAATTGCTCTGAAATTTGAAGAAAGTAAAATTCTACTTACATTTTTGCCAGTGCATTTTCTGTGACATGTTGTAATCTCTTTCACGCCTTTCTGATGCAGACAGAGTTGACATTGCTGAGTTCTTACAAAGTGCTTCAGTGGAACATGTGTGTACACAAACTAGTGAAATGCAACATTGCAGAGAAGTAAGACTTAAAGTCTCACTCTACGTCTGATGTCATCATTTACCCTCCCAATCTCTCCTCTTGTGGCCGCGTTTTTAAAAAATTTTCCTCAGCGCTGTGTAACCACAAAAAGAAGCCACTGAGTGGCACTTGTCATTCACAGTGGGTTCTGGAAGATATTATGGGAAAGATGAATCTTTATGCGATGGGTTTAATGACTACGCCATGCTTGAAACTGAAGGTTGTTTCTCAAAAGTCTTTTTTTTTCGCAAATTCGGCAGGCGAATGTAAGCCTACTGGCAGCATGTTAAGTACGTACTAAAAGGAAACACCTGCCAAGTCTTTCTGAATTAGTACATCCTGTTCTAAAGATATTTTCCTGCCCTTAACTTGGAAAATGCTGCACAATACAAAAAATGTGGATCTCATTATTGTTCGGGAAATACTCATATTTTGTCATTCTACATACTTGAAACCAAAACGTGTTGAAAAATCCATTGATAAAACCTTAAATCACATTGCTGCTGTTCAATCTGCAATAGATTCTTGGTCCCCTGTTCCAACAACATGTTCCTTGAGGTACTGATCTCTTCAGTCTAATGATATATACACATATTCCCAAGCAACATATATAATCAATTTTGTTTTGAAGGGGTCAATTGACAGCATATGGAATGTAAAGCATGTCTTCAATCTTTAGTTATTTTGACTTTGGGAAATAGAATAAGTGGGTGATATTGGCTTGATCAGCCAACTAATCATTTCCACCAATCTCAGAAAGCATATAAACATGGAAGGTGTTTATCAGGTGTTTTATACAATTCCTCAAACTCGATGTTAACCTCAAATTATGTTGGAAGGACGGAGTTTGAACTGATGCTTAACGCAGACACGTGGTTCTCTGTCACATCAGCAAATCAGTAGATATTTCAGATCTTGGAGACTAAATGCTGTCAATGTTTTTCTCAGCCATGCTAATCAACACCAGACTCTGGGAATTTCCTTTGGGACTTTTCTTGATCAGCTGTTGACATCATGTAGGGTCTGGCAGGGATATTGGAGACCATATGGAACTAAGAAACAGGTGATAGTTATATGTTTGTTAAGGGGCCATTAGTTGAGCCAGAATACTTGGGTTCAACTCCCATCTGCACTAAAGGAGTGTCTGAAGAAGCTGTTTAAAAATATCAGTGAGTGAATATGTGGGATCAACAAGTAGTCAGTGTTTTTGCAGTGTGAGTAAAAATAAACTCTGATTGGAAAATTATTGCCTGGACTCTGTCTAACCAGAATTTAACTTCAGCTGTCGTTATAACTAAGCAGGGAGATGGGGGTGGGGGGAATTTTTGGATATGCATGTGAATAGGTTTTCTGACAATCTTCTACTAAAATGACTGTGAATCAGGAGAACATGCAAGGAAATGCCAAGTGAGGATGTTCCAAATTAACACTAGAGTTGAGAGTTATGTTATAAAGTTGCAATAAATTATTACCAAAGAACAGCATAATTTATATAAAATCAATAAAATGTAAAATGTGTTGCTGATTGGGATAAGATACAACGATGGTTTTAAGAGGCACCACTGACTTATTTGTTCCTCGATTGATTAACTTGAAGACAGAAGCTGAGTTTTGTGCAAAGCAGGAGAACATCATTTAGCTACATTTTCATTAAAATTAGTGAATGGAGGAAAATATATCCATGATTTAATGACAGCTAATTTGAAAGTGTACCACTTACAAAGGCTGAGTGAGAGATGGATATATGTACTTATCATGAAATGTGTCTGGATTCAGCATCACAGAAATCCTGTTACTATTGAGGAGAGTACAGTCAATGGCATTCAAACTGACCAGTTCAACCAAATAAGTGAGCTTTGCTTTAAAGACATGACAGACACCATAGGGGTGGGGAAAGTGGTTAATGAGGTGCTTTTTGTATGATATAGAGAGAAATCTTGCTAGGCCTTGCCTTAATAATCTCGCCAAGAAACTCAATGCTGAAAAGTGTAGGATTCAGCCTTATTGTTTTGTGTCATGTGTCCTGAAAGTATTCTTTATGAATGCTATGAACATTTCAAATGGAGTTTCTTCAGCAAAACTAATCTGAGGACTTGAGGAACAATTGCTTGTTGTGCAGTCTGGTCCAATATAAGACTTGATAAAATGTGGCAGCCTTACGGATATTGTTCACTTGTGATGTCGTGATGAAAATCCAAGATATAGAACAATAGTTTGTATTTTTGTTATAAGATACAGTGAATGGCTCAGCTTATTCTGCTTTCAAACGGTTCACCTGTCTGCATGGAATTTTATAAACGCACATCATAGTTTGTTATATTCTCCCCATAACACACATATATCACATTTCGTAGATTATAAGCTTTTAATTTCTGACTTCTTGGTTTTTCCTGCCACCTATCTTCAAAGTACATGATTTTGCTGCCAACGTGCTTATATGAGGTACAGTAACATTGTAGTGATACTAGAAACCTGGGCTAATGAACTGTGATGGACTGGGAATTAAACTCAACCATTTCAATGCAATTGCAATTAAAAACTCCTCTTGGGTTTCCAAATACCCTTTTGAAGATGTCAACATTTCCTTGCCTGGTCTGGGCAATGTGTAACTCCAGACCTACATCACATAGGTGACTCTTTACTGCCCTCTCAAACTAGACAACTCAGTTATATTCAAGAAGTTGGCTTATCAGCAATGTCTCAAGGCCAGTCGGGTATGGGCAATAAGTGCTGGCCTTACCACTAATATCCATATCTGTTGGATTCAAAACTTATTTGTTTAAATGAAGAAATATTTTGATTTGCCTCTCTCTGCAGGCCATAAGGTGAGAAGAAGCTGATCTCCTGCTCCTTCACCTTCACCAATGCCACCCTTTCTGTGGATCTAAACTCAAAGTGAGAGGTCCTGGCTGATTCCAATGATTCTTCCTTCCAGTCGACACATCCCAGCCTTCACTTTCTGACTCCATGCCTCAAAAATACAGAGAAAATTGGAAACGGGGTCTGCATGATGTACTTTGGATGGGCAATTGCAGGCTCCTTGCACCAACTGGGAAAGAAAACTCACAAGTAACAAGATATGAATGAAATACAGGACCCAAATTCAAGTATTGAATGTGGATTATTTGTCTCATTATTATGTAAAAGTCTATGAAAAAAAACTCATTTGTGTGCAAAAGGCAAAATTCTGGGACTATTTAAGAAACAGGCACAACAATGAAGAGGGAGCATGGGAAAACTGTATTGGATGAATAAGTAAAGATGGGCTAAACAGTGTTACTCATCCAAATGTATCTGGTGTCCTTGTAGCTTAAATAGAATGAAAGCTTACTGATCCATTTGGCTTTACTACTGGTGGGACATGTTACATGCATCAAAGATAATATGGTTATGCTGTTGCTATTTATTAACTATAACTATTGTTTATTAACTAATTTACTAAAGAATGAATAACTGATGTTTTAATGCTCTGCCATCAATGTTTATGACTTGAATACACACTTACCATACTATGCTACCTGGTGGTTACTGATCATTTTTTTCTGTTCTGGCTCCTAATTTTCAATGACCTATCTCCTTCCCAGTTTTTGGCCATTGGTTTTCACTTGTTGAGGTCTCCATTGGTGCCTGTGCCTTGAGCTGCCTCGGCCCCAGCTTCTGAAATTCCCTCCCTAAACACCTTCACGTCACCTGCTCTAAGTCTGTTGTGGCATAGTGGTAATGTCATTTGATTTAAAATCCAGAAGTCCAGGTTAATGCTCTAGGAAAGTATGATCAAATCCCACTACAGCAATTTGTGGAGTTTAAATTCACTTAATGAAATATAGAATTAAAAGTGACACTGTTTGTGAGCCCATTGCCAATTGTAGCAAAAACCCATCTGGTGCACATTTTTTTCTGATGAAGGGTCCAGGCCCAAAACGTCAGCCTTCCTGCTCCTATGATGCTGCTTGGCCTGCTCTGTTCATCCAGCTCTACACCTTGTTATCTCATATTCTCCAGCATCTGCAGTTCCTACTATTTCTGGTGCACCATGTCCTTCAGGAAGGGAAATCTGCCATTCCTATCCAGTCTGCACTTATCCTCTGTCAATCAATTCAAGGGCAGGCAATAATGCTGGTCTTGCCAGTGGTGCCCACATCCCATGAAAGAATAAAGGGAAAAATATTTTCCTAATAAAATCTCCTTTAGCATGGCTACAGACTTATACTAAAGGTGCTATGTAAATGTAAATTACTATTATTTAGGCACATCATTTATAGTCTCTAGTTTCCCTGATCCAATCACTGCGGCCAATCAGAGTCAATCTGCCTAACTTAAAATTTTAACTTTTAAAACTTTAAAAGTCTGGCCATTAACTGTCAATCATAATTAACTGGTGCATTACCTACGGGACACTTCTGCCTATCAGTTTCAATTGTCAACCAAACAGTGCACTCCTCTCATACAGTATAAATGTTGGTTTTCCTCATAAATTGCTATTCTTGCAAATGGTCCTGATAAGTGCAAGAAGAAAAGCTTTGGACAATGAGTCTTTTTTGGCGATACTCAAGTTCTACACTACCAATCTACATTACTGACAGAAATAGATTTTTACAATAATCATTGGTAATAGTCACCATTCCAACACTAGCTTTATAAATTGAGTGTAAATTCCACCAACTGCTGTGGTGGGATTTGAATCCATGTCCCAAGGCTTTAGGCTAGGCCCCCAGGTTAGTTGCCTAGTGACATAGTCATTATGGCATTATTTCCACTGTCTTATTCACAATGATTATGATCTTATGCAATATTCATAGGTTACAGAGGAGAAAAACTTGCCTTTACACAGAACCTTACATTTCAGCAGTATCTCAGAGTACTTTAAAGATAATCACTTAACTTGGAGAATGGATAGTTGGGCAAGCAATCTTGTGACAAATAAGACTGGACAAATATCAATGAGATACATGATCAGTTAATATGCTTTCATCG